TAAAAAAAACTTTCTTTGGCAAGGGTCCTGTAACCTCCACCACCTATTCTTACTAAGGTAGCGAACATTCACCTTGACTAAACTTATTGATGATAGAGGTGAAGTTTCAACACTAATTGGCGACCTCTATAAAAAATATTCAATATTTCATCAATTTTGGTCTATGCCCCTGTTTGGTTTGAATAAAAAAATTGATAAAAATTTAAGATAAAATTAGTATTTAGTTTTATTTACACACTTTTTAATCAAATATTTCATCAATTTTGATAAAAAAAAATAGATTTTTATCAAAACAATGAAGGGCGAAATTTGGTATACGTAATATATTTTCAGTGATTTGACTCGTGAAAAAACAAATAATAGTTGGTCCTATCTGCAAAAATTGTCAACAGGGTGAATGGCCACATGGCCTATAACTTTTAGGTGATACAAAATCGAGAAGGGATCATTGATTCAATCCATATGCTTTAAACAAATCATTTTCTTATATGAATCCTAATTTCTTACTCCGTGTTGAAATTCGAGAAAACAATAAAATAAAACATACATATATCCATAATAATCTGAATCTCTGTCTGGATGGTTTATGATCTTCCAATTGATTGGTGGTTTTCACTTCAATTTTGCTCTCTATCCACGGGGATGTAGAGAATCTCAAGAACGCCAATAAATAGGGATCATAACCATATAAAATAATAGTAGTAACTGAATAGTCACTATCTTTCAGTTGCTTCAAATTGGTCCACCATCAATTTAAAACTACATTTTGGTCTCTACACTATAATTCCATAAAATCTAATACCCATTAGTCACAATATATCTTTAACGGATCACTTTAATTGATTAATATCCTTTAACTAATAGCACCACACATTTTAATATACGTGAGGCCCCATACATGTTGAAAATATCCAACAATTTCTCACTGAGCCATACGTGTAATCTTATAAATGTGCACAATCTTATGAGCTCAAAATTTTGCTATCATTATTATGTGTATTACCAAACTATCTCGTCCATTAGTCATATTGATATAGGATCAAAGCGATTTTCGTCACATTTAATGTGACTAAATCCATCAATGATCACATACACACATACAACCAAATGACATAGATCAATCATGAGAGTGTAGCATGGAAATT